CCAACGGCGCCAGCCTTAACACCATTTTCAACAGCAAAAAAAACAAAAACACCTGACCCAGGCATGGTGGCTCATGGCCTGTAATCCCAGCACTTCGGGAGGCGAGGTGGGCAGATCACTGAGGTTGGAGTTCCAGACCAGCCTGACCAATATGGAGAAACCTGTCTCTACTAAAAATACAAAATTAGCAGGGCGTGGTGGCACGTGCCTGTAATCCCAGCTACTCGGGAGCAGTAGAATGACTTGAACCCAGGAGGTGGAGGTTCCAGCGAGCCGAGACTGTGCTACTGCACTCCAGCCTGGCAACAAGGACAGCAGAACTCCTGTCTCCAAAAAAAAAAAACTCCCACCTAGGAATAAATCTAATTAGAGATATGCAAAAATTCTAAACAGAATACCATAAAATATTATTGGGACAAATTAAAGATGAGCTACATTAACAAAGTAATATAGCACGGTCACGGATTTGACAACACAATATTGTAAAGATGATAATTCTTCCCAAATTGATCTACAGAGTCATTGCCATCCCAATAAAATTCAAATAGAATTTTTGCAGAAATTGATACGCTGATTCTGAAATTTATATTGATATGCAAAGGGCTAAGGATAGTCTCTTGAAGAACAAGAAGGGAGAACTTAATTCTGTTGCATATCAAGCTACAGGTGTCACAACAATGTGGTACTGGTGTCAGGATAAACAGATAGGCCAATGAACAGAAAATGAAAAGAAATGCAATCTAGAAACAGAAATACAAAACTTTAAAATCTAAAAAGAGGGTGGGCTCAGTGGCTCATGCCTCTAATCCCAGCACTTTGGGAGACTGAGTCAGGCAGATCACTTGAGGTCAGAAGTTCAAGACCAGCTTGGCCAATGTGGTAAAACCCCGTCCCCACTAAAAATACAAAAATTAGCCACACATGGTGGTGTGTGCCTGAAATCCCAGCTACTCGGAAGGCTGAGGCAGGAGAATCGCGTGAAGCTGGGAGGCAGAGGCTGCAGTGAGTGGAGATAGCACCATTGCACTCTGCACTCCAGGCTGGGCGACGAAGTGATACTCTGTTTCCAAAAAAAAAAAAAAAAAAAAATTCTAAAAACAGGTCTGTGAAGGTATAAATAGTGGATACATAAGGTGGCCCTGGAGATCAGGTGGCCCATCAGATGGCGAAAAAAGTTTTTATAAACTGTATAGGATCAGCTGGTTATCCACATGGACAAAAATGAACTGTGATGCTATGCCTCCCATTATATGCTAGAACCAAATCCTGGTAAGACTCTAGATCTAAACATTAAGTTTCCAAAAGATAATGCCTTTTTTTTTTGAGATGGGGTCTTTCTGTGTTGCCCAGGCTGGTCTTGGACTCCCGAACTCAAGTGATCTTCCTGCCTCAGGTTCCTGAGTAGCTGGGATTACAGGTATATGCCACAATGCTTTTGTTTTTAATGACAGAATTTTGTTTTTAAAGACAGATAATTTTTTTTCTTAATGAGAACTATCTCTAGCATTCCAACAGAATTTTGGGGATTTAGAGAGCAGGATTCATTTCTAACTTTCTATTGCTTATACTAGCACAATACTCAGCATGTAGCAGATAATATGTATTTACTGAGTGAATAAACATATATGGGTTTAATTGCATAGCCACAGTTGCTAGTCTTAAGGAAACTCAGAAAACAAACTGGAGTTACCAAAAGCTACAAATACAGCAAAATATGATTAAACACTTACATATTCCATTTTTACTAAAGACTGAAGTACAGTGCAAAAAAGCACTTAAACATATTTGATGATTCTGATAACTTCATCTATGATGCTTTCCTGTTAACCCTGGCCTTAAGTGATTATCCTTCCTTGGTATGGCTATACTGCCAAATTACATGATTCATCTGATACCATAAGAAAATAAGCAGGGTCTTTACACATTCATTTCCTTCTCAAACTGTTATTTACACAGCTGCTCATTTTGGTCTTTCCAACTTTGGCTTAAATAGCACATCTTCTGAAAAGCTATGTAAGTGGGAATCTTCCCTCAGCTGCCTATTGTCCTTTGTCATTTCACCCTATTCTTCATTTCCTGCACTGCTATTATTATTTGTACTTATTTACTTGACTGAATATTTTTAATTGACTATTCCCCCAACCCTAGATTGTAAGCACCACAAAGGTAGTAACCATGTCACTACCTGGTTAGAAATTCTGTAATTTTCTAACCAGGGTCCAGAAGGGTAAATACCTTCTGAATAAGTGAATTTTATTATAGAATTTGAGTAGATGCCTTTTCTCCCTAATTATTGTTAGTATTTTGAGGGTGGGGAAAGTATCTTAATTCCATTTCCTGCAAGCCAAAAAGTCCTGTGGCTCCCACCCATAAAGCATGAATTCCTTAAGTACTTATTTACTGAATGAGAAAATAAAAACACTTTAGGCTGGGGATGGTAGCTCACATCTGTAATCCCAGCACTTTGGGAGGTCAAGGATGGGAGGATCACTTAAGGAAAGAAATTTGAGACCAGCCTGGGCAAGGGAACAAGGCCCTGTCTACAAAAGAGTGAAAAAATTAGCTGGGCGTGGTGGTGTATGAGTATAGTCCCAGCCACTCGGGAGGCTGAGGAGGGAGGATGGCTTGAGCCCAAGACTTCATGTGTGCTATGACTGCACCACTACAGTCCAGCCTGGACAGCAGAGTGAGACGCTGTCTCTAGAAAAAAAACAAAAACAAAAACCAAATAAAAACCTCACAAAACACTCTTACCTTGCCAAAGCTGCCTTTTCCAATAACTTTTAAGAAATCAAAGTCAGTTGGTTTGGCACTGAAATAAATTAACAATAAGAATTAGCCTCCTAGAAATTGGAAAGATTAACTTTTAAACATTTCTTAGCACTTCCCTCTTTAATAAATAAATGTTAGGCACAAAACACTTCAGCCTAGTAACTCCAGCTTTCCTGCTGAGCATTTCATCTTTCATATATAGTAGGTAATATGAATAGTAATAATATCTACTCTCTGATTAGATAAGGCATTTCATAACTTTAAGCCTCATTAAGTTCTGCTTAAGAGGAACTTCAATAATACTCTCTTTGAGAGAAAAGGATATATGCACATCCTATATGTAGAGTTTTGAACTCGAAATAGCTTCGATTTTACCTTAAACCTATTTTATTAACCATGGCCCAATGTTGTTGAGGAAACTGAGTAACTATATAAATTAGTGATACATTCTAAGGACTATATAGCATGTGGTAATTCTTCTGAAAATGAAGCTGTTAGTTGGAACACCTAAAGAAGCTAAGAATAATTTCTGATGGAGAAAAAAGTCATTACAGTGTTTCACATATAAACCACGTATTGTACATTAAAGATAAAAGACTTCTTAGCTTATTCTCATGGATGGCAATACAGGAAAGCCAGGAACAGAAAAGCAAGAGGGAATACTAAGACTGCCCTTTTATTTATGTTAACTTAACCTATCAAGTAAAAATAGCATTGGCTGTTAGACAAAAACACACGGAAGCAGAAAGGGGAGCTTAAGCAGCCAAAAGAGCCGTTTCCTCCAACCCGGTCTGAATTCGTAAGTTGTATGGGAAGAGGGGAATAAATCCATTTGGATTTGAAATTTGCTTAATTATCAAAAAAAGAAAAATAGTTAATTCAAATATGAGAGTAAAACCAGAACTAGGTTAAATAATGACAGGTAAAGATTAGTGAGATAAACACTTAACTATATTTAGATGTTTTTCTTCTTCAAAAACCTGCTCTCTGGACTATTTTCTTCTTTAAAGATATGCAGAGGTACCGAAATAACTTTGTAAACAAATCTAACAGTGAAAAACATGCAGATCCCTCAAACATAATAAATAGGTGAGCTGAGTCCATACTCCAAGCCCCGCTGTTAACTGCTGGGGATTAATCTTAACTGAAAGCCAATTTCCATTTTTGGCCAGGCACAGTGGCTCACGCCTGTAATCCCAGCACTTCGGGGGGTTGAGGTGAGCGGATCACCTGAGATCAGGAGTTCAAGACCAGCCTGCCCAACATGGTGAAACCCTGTCTCTACAAAAATACAAAAATTAGCCAGGCATGACGGTGGGTGCCTGTAATCCCAGGTATTCAGGAGGCTGAGGCAGGAGAACCTGGGAGGCAGAGGCTGCAGTGAGCGGAGATTGCACCATTGCACTCCAGTCTAGGCGACAGAGCAAGACTCCGTCTCAAAAAAGAAAGAAAAAAAAAAATTTCCACTTTTTGTGCTGCCATTTTTGTTCAATGCTATTAACAACAGAAAAGAATGCTTAAAACCAAACTTCCAGTTAGCATCCTATTTATCTGCTTTCCTTTGAAGCAAAAACTCTTCAAGCTAAGTTTTGAAAACTCCTTGTCTCTACCTGCTGTCCTCTCCTCTAGTTCTCTAGTGAACCCTTTCTGATCACAGTCTTATACCAACTACCACATCACTGAAACTGCTCATTAAAAGTCACCAATGACTTTATTAAATCCAGTGGTCAATTTTCAATCTTCGTATTACTTGCCCTATCAGCAACATTAACAGAGTTAATTACTCCCTCCTCTTTCAGGCACTCTTCCCCTGACCTCAGGCAACCATATTCCTGGTTTTTCTCTCATCTTACTGACTGCTCTTTCTCAGTCTCTGTAAGCAGTACTTTCCTGACCTCATAATGTTGAAGTGTCCCAGGACACAGTCCTTGGACCACTTCTCCCATCTGCCTATAATCATTCTCCAAGTAGAGCAAAAGGGTAGAGAAAGGGTAGGAAAAGCCTACAATGAAAAAACACTTCAGAATAAATGTAATATGCCTGGTAAGGATAATTAAGTAAGTAAGGGCGGCAAGACCACATTCCTCTTCCAACCCATGGCAGACACTACTAATCAATTAAGTCTGGGAATATGGGGAGAAATTGGGTAAACAAAGTTTAATAGCCTTTAATATTCTAATGTCCATTATGACTCCTCTGGAACAAGCTGGCTAACAACAGGAGTGCACCAATTACACCAAACACCAGCAGAATGTCAATTAGGCCTGCAAGGGTGCTTTTTCTCAGGGGACCTCATAGGACTTATGGTCCTTATGGTCCCTTGGGAAATATGGTCTACTGATTTTACACACACACACACACCCAGAAAACTGATGATAAAACAGCAGAACCCAATTAACAATCTGTGGATTAAAAGTTCCTTAGGGCTCTCCTAAAGCAATGAAAAGCTGGAGCAGTAAATCAGTCAAGCATATGATAGCACTGTATTCACTGTAACTATGGTTATATTTCAAAGGCCTCCAGTTAAATTAGTGTAATTATACATATCTGCATACTCTCAAAAAAGATCTTCCTAAAATTCAGTTAAAAAATTGTTTGGAACAAATTAAACATACTGAGGATTTCCAGATGGTCCCAGGTTGATGTTCTGTGAGGTAGAGTGTAGCTGTTAAGATGGGGGGAAAAAAACAACATTCTTATTGGAGCATCAAAAATTAATTAATGTTTTGAAATAAAATATTTATAACTGTACCACAAATATTTGGTTTGTTGCCATGTTAAAGAAACCCAAGGTCCTGATTCTCAGTAAGGGTATAGACTTAACTTGGAAATACACATAATTGACAAAAACATAATCATTTTGCTCACGGTAATTTTCAAGAACTGTTGTAAGAAAAAACGTAAGCCAGAAATCAAGCTCTAAGTTGGCAAATGAAAGAAATAAACTGAGGAAAGCTCCTTGGAGGAGGTGGGTATTGAAACCGCAATTTAAGAGGGATCACTTTTTAAAAAACTGGTTAAAAATGGTTTGTTTTTCAAGTTTTCAAATAGTTTATCAAAGAAATGATAGGATGATGACAATGATGATCGCAAACGCCGGGTTTTCAGTTTTAATTTGATGGCAGGTAAATACAGACAAAGCAAACATAGAAAGCAGTGCTTTTCTTTTCTTTTTTTGAGACAGAGTCTCACTCTGTCGCCCAGGCTGGAGTGCAGTGGCGCAATCTCGGCTCACTGCAAGCTCTGCCTCCCAGGTTCATGCCATTCTCCTGCCTCAGCCTCCCGAATAGCTGGGACTGCAGGTAACCATGCCCAGCTAATTTTTTTGTATTTTTAGTAGAGACAGTGTTTTACTGTGTTAGCCAGGATGGTCTCCATCTCCTAACCTTGTGATCCACCCACCTCAGCCTCCTAAAGTGCTGGGATTACAGGCGTGAGCCGCCGCACCCGGCCTTTTCTTTCTAATTCTAGCACTGCGGTAGCGCCAACATTTTATATAGGCTTTTCTCTTTGCAACAGTTAACACAGTAAGCTTAAGCCCTGGTATTAATTTAGAAGCAAATCTTTATTTACCTAGTATGCTATAAAGAAATGTAAATAATAAAAGATTCTAGTACACTAATAATTAGCTAAAATTCTAACTCAAAAATCCCAGAAGATTAATCTAGTGATCTTATCAGAGTGAGCATTTTTTATAAAAGCCAAGTGTAAGTAAATTCTGCTTCACATAAATAAACTTTAAAACTATACATTCAGATAATTAAATCAGTTATAAATGTTTCAAAAATGTATACGTTTATGAGTGTTCTATGTAATTATACTTCATATAAGCTATAAATATAAAAAAGTTTTTAAAAACTTCTCTAATCAGAACCAATCTTTTTGTTTTTGTTTTTGAGACGGAGTTTCACTCTTGTTGCCCAGGCCGGAGTATAGCGGCCCCATCTTCACTCACTGCAACCTCCACCTCGTGGGTTCAAACGATTCTCCTGCCTCAGCCTCCCAAGTAGCTGGGATTTATAGGCATGACCGCCACGCCTGGCTAATTTTGTATTTTTAGTTTAAAGGGTTTCGCGTATGTGTGACCAGGCTGGTCTGAACTCCCTGACCTTAGGGTGATTCACCCCCGTCCGCTTCCAAGCGGTACTGGGATTTACAGGCATGAGCATGCACCCGGCAAGAAATTTTATCTTATTCAAACTTTATTTTAGAACGTATATAATTTGATACTTCATTCATCCAATTTATATCTCTTAGATTAAACTATTTTTTAAATTAAAAGACAAATAATCTTCATCCTTGCAAGTTCTTGAAGTTTCTGAGGTGGGGCGGGTGGTCATGCCTGTAATCCAGACTTTGGGAAGCCGGGGCAAGTGGATATCTGAGGTCAGGAGTTCGAGTCAGCTGGCAACATGGGGTGAAACCCTGTCTCTACAAAAAATACAAAAATTAGCTGGGCGTGTGATGAGCCACTGGAATCTAAGGCTCTAGGGAAGGCTGGGCAGGGAATCTTGAACCAGAGGTGGAGGTTTTGCAGTGACTGAGACAGGCAGCATGCACTCACGGTGGGCGCAGAGTGAGATTCTGTCTCAAAAAAATAAATAAATTAAATAATAGTTTTTATGAAAAACAGACATTGGCACACATTGTATTTCGCAATTAATTTATTTCCTATTGCTACACCTATAATAAAAATTGCATTAAATGAGATTGAGTCCTGTATGTGGCGTAGTTTAACATAAGGAGTAGTCTTAATGGTTTAAATATTACGTGTTCCCTTTCTACTAAGAAACTTCGTATAAATAATCAAACAAATAAGTATAAAAAACGAAGAAAAAAATAAATTACTTCCAGTGTTCCTTTGACTCTTGCAAATGTAATTCAAACTGGTGGGGTAACTTTATCACTTATTCTTTTAATGAATGTGCGATGACTGGTTTAATTTTCCTTCAATACATTTTCCTCATAAGATGAAGGAAGCTGGGTGCAGTGGCTCACGCCTGTATTCCGCAATTGGGAGCCGCGAGCAGGCAGATCACGAAGGGTCAGGAGTCGGACCGGCCTGCTAACACGGTGAACCCATCTTACTAAAAATACAAAAATTGCTGGGCATGGTTGGTGACCTATAGACCAGCTATTGGAGGGCTGGAGGCAGAAGAGGAATCGCTTGACCCAGGAGGGAGGAGGTGCGTGAGCAAGATTGCACCCTGTTACTAGCATGGGGCAACAGAGAGACTCCTCTCAAAAAAAAGAAGGAAGAGGATTAAATATAGTGCAGATTAAACAACATGAACAACTTGTCCCCTGAAGTATGTTAATATGTTAATATGTAATTAGATTTTATTATTTAGGCAAGGATTTCCCTAATGGAGCACATTTCTGAAATGATGAAAATTATTAGAATATATAATTAGACAACTGTACTTACTATTTCTGAAGACAATATCCAGTCACTAAATTGAGGGTGAGGTATAATTTCTTAACAGAATGAATACTAATTGAGATCATTTAAGTTTCTTGACTTCCCTTGGCCTCTATTTTTCTCTGTATCAATAAGGGGGTAGGTCCAGATGCCCTCTAAAATATTCCAGCTAGGAGCTTCACTTAATTATTCACTTAAAAGTCCTTAATAGGCCAGGTACGGTGGCTCACGCCTGTAATCCCAGCACTTTGGGAGGCCAAGGCTGGCGGATCACAAGGTCAGGAGATTGAGATCATCCTGGCTAACACGGTGAAACCCTGTCTCTACTAAAAATACAAAAAATTAGCCGGGCGTGGAGGTGGGCGCCTGTAATCCCAGCTACTTGAGAGGCTGAGGCAGGAGAATGGTGTGAACCTGGGAGGTGGAGCTTGCAGTGAGCCGAGATCCTGCCACTGCCCTCCAGCCTGGGCGACAGGGCGAGACTCCGTCTCCAAAAAAAAAAAAAAAAAAAAATCCTTAATAAATAGTTACAATTATACGACAAAGTATGGCTTTTTCCTTTTTTTAAAAGAGATTCTTTTTATCAGTATTTTAAAATCTCAAGGGATTCTAGTGGAAGTTTCAGACATTATGGATGGAAAAAGAAAAAAAGGAACAAAACTCAGATTTAAAGTCAACAGTGGCAGAACCCAGAAATCTCTCAGCTTGGTTCTGTCTTCAAGTTGTCTGCAGTTGTCTTCCACTGCAAGGCAAGATAGTCTTCAAATAACCTAAACCTACCCAGTCTCACATAAGTAGCAAGCAAAACACGAAAAATCATGATTACATAGATTTTAATCTTTAAAACATTACTTGAATATATTCATTTTTCAATTAAAAATACTAATAGCTGGAAAGTGTCAAAAATATTAGGAAAAGCATTTTTTAAAATCCATAACCTTATCAATATATAATTTTGCAAATATTTACACTACTTTCATATAGTATTTGCATATTTTTAAAAAACTGACTGTAAATCATACTGTGTGAATATGCATATACATTTTAAATACTGATTTCGCTTAATATAGCGAAGCTTAAAATCTGATCTTCAAAAATAAAATGCATAACATATATGGACAAACACTAAGTGACTGGTAAATATTTAGGTTGATTCTAATACTGTTTTTAGTAGATCATACAGAAATGAACATCTTTTGCTTTTTTCTGTGTGGATTATTTCATTTGCATCAATTCCTGATGTGAATTGTTTTCCAAAGGAGTTGCAGAAAATTATGACACCAATGATGACCAAGGGTGCTCGTTTTACCTTACTGTTATCAGTTCTGCAATATTTTATTTACATTTTTATTGATTTGAGAGAGCAATAAAAATCTAAGATTTTCATTTGCTAATAGCATCAACGTTGAACATTTTCCTCTATGTTTTTTTACTAAGAGTATTCCTTCACGCCCCATTTCCTTTTATCTACTATAGTGTTAAGTATCATTCTTTTAAAAAACCCATTTGTATGAGCTTTTCATACAGACGTTATTTCTTGTTATGCCTTATTTATTACGAATGTTTTCCCGGTTTGTTGTTTCTCTTTTGACCAGCTACAGAGATTTTTTTTTTTTTTAAGTTTTTTACATTGTCCTAGGAGCAACCATGTCACAGATGTAAAAGTTAGATTTGTTCTCTTAACTGAAAATCTTGGGGTATCTGAGAAGGAAAATTACCACTTTCCAGCAGTCACAAAAAAGGAGTATGTCTTTTTTCAAAATGAAGATTTCAGCCCTAGGACACTAATATTCCAATGCACCATGTTATCTTTTAAATCACAAAAACAGAGCCATAACAGAATTAACAGGCATTATAAAGAAAAACTGTGTTTCAACCCATCATCTCTGATTTTCATGTACATATTTAATAATAGTTGTTTAAAAGTTTGAATTATGTAGATATATTTATATAACATTTATAATAATTTAATTGCTACAGAGTAATACTTTGAGTTAAATTATTACAATTTACCTCTCCCACACAACTAAGGTAAATGTTGAAAACATCTTCGTAATAAGGCACAAGCCTATTTTACTTATTGCCATCACGATTTAGTTTTAAAAACAACACTGGCCAGGCGTGGTGGCTCATGCCTGCAATCCCAGCACTTTGAGAGGCCAAGGCAGGGGGATCAGGAGGTCAGGAGTTCGAGCAGCCTGGCCAATATGGTGAAACCCCGTCTCTACTAAAAATACAAAAATTAGCCGGGTGTGGTGGCAGGCACCTGTAGTCCCAGCTACTAGGCAGGCTGAGGAAGAGAATCGCTTGAACCCGGGAGGCGGAGGTTGCAGTGAGCCAAGATCGTGCCAATGACTCCGGCCTGGGCAACAGTGCGAGACTCCATCTCAAACAAACAAACAAACAAAAAACAAAACAAAGCTACCCTATTCTGTTAGGAACACATATTGATTATGTACATACATCACAGAAATAAAAGTTAGTTGATGACAACTGGTATGTGTGTACTGACTGTTCTGTATAGAAAATCCTGACAATGCAGAGGAAGTCGGATGTAATGTGGTTGAGAAGGCCTTTTCTGTTGGCCAAAATTCAAAATAGTTTCAAGTGTGGCAATAACGATAAAATAAGACATAAAGTAAAGAAAGTAGAATATAAAATTGTATACACTGCATAATTAAAATCAGGTAATTTTAAAACCCTATACATTAGAGAAGATTGGAAAGAAAATTACCAGAATGTTAAAAATTTCTAGGTGTGGGTGCAATAATATGGGTAATACTTTTCTTTTTACCTACTATTTTCAAATTTGTCTGATTAACCTGTATTACTTTTTAGTATAAAAAGTACTCATTCTATATGTTTTGTAAGAAATAGTGATCTGTGGCCTGGGCGCCGTGGCTCATGCCTATAATCCCAGCATTTTGAGAGGCCGAGGCAGGTGGATCATTTGAGGTCAGGAGTTTGAAACCAGCCTGACCAATATGGTGAAATCCCATCTCTACTAAATGCAAAAATTAGCCAGGCATGGTGGCAGGCACCTGTAATCCCAGCTACTGGGGAATCTGAGGCAGAAGAATCACTTGAACCCGGGAGGTGGAGGTTGCAGTGAGCTGAGATTGCACCACGGCACTACAGCCTGGGTGACAGAGTGAGACTCCATCTCAAAAGAAAAAAGAAATACTCATCTGTAAGAGATATGTGCATTTGTTTTTATGCGTTCTACATAGTAGAAACTCTACTATGGATGAAATTACTTCATTTGAAGTAAGTGTCCTAAAGCCACTAATTTCATCTTTGGGGAATGGTACTTTTTCTATTAAGAAAGAAAATTCCTCTTAATACCTTCTGAGAACTTCTTTCATCCTCATCTTCAGATGGATCTGACTGGTGTTTTGGACTGTCCATTTGAAGGAATGCTCTGACATCTGGACTAAAAAAAAATTAACTTTATTATAACTTTAAAAGCATTTCTACAGCGTTTCTCCCTTTTCAAAGGAAAATCAAAATAGAAATAACTATATTAGCATTTACAGTAAGAAAGTCAAACAGAATCCATTAATATTCATTATTATAAATATAATAAGCAAATTAATTTTTTAAAAATAGAGAAACAGACAAATGGGCAAACATATAAACAGGAAGTATATGGAAAAGAAAACCCAAATGACAAGCAAATTTCTGAAGATGGCTAACTTTACTAGTAATCAGAGAAATATAAGTTAAAATGATAGTGAGATATCATGTTATGTCCATTATCTGGCAAAGGTTAGAAAGACAGATAATACCAAAAGTTGGTTAAAAAAAAAAAAAAGGGTAAGAGAAATGCTCAAATATTGTTGGTGACAATGCAGAATGAAGCAACTTTTCTGAAAAAGCAATCTGGCAACACTTGGTAAAACTGTATATGCATTTTCCCTGGGCCCCAGAAATTCTAATTTTTGTGGTAAACCATAGAAAAAATTATGTGCAGGTCCAGTGAAAGGCATGTAATTATAATGTTCATTGCAGCATTTTCTGTAACAGGAAGTTAGAAGCAAAATAGGCATTTATCGCCAGGCAAAAGAGTAAGTCAACTATGGTAACTGCCTACAGGGAGTAACAGTCAACAGTCAGAAGCAAGAAACTATAGCACAGTACCATTTATATATATATATATATATATTAAATACTCACAGACACAAAACATCAGTCTGTTTACTGAAGATACACAGATATATAAGGACAAATATCAAACACATTAAAGTGGGTGTCAACGGGGGGATGAGGAAATGGCTATGAAGATGAAGGATGAAGAGAAAAAAATGGACTAAAATTAGAGATGGCCCACAGATGGACTCATGACGACTGTGGGAATAATTAAATCTCCATACCTGGCACCTTCTCCCCAGTCTGTCCTTAATTATTTAATCAAGTAATACATATTATTTGTAGGAAACTCGAAATTTGAAAAATTATTTTTAAAAAGAGGAGGCCTTAGCCAGGAGTGGTGGCTCATGCATGTAATCCCAATGCTCTGTGAGGCTGAAGCAGAAGGATAATTTGAGGCCAGGAGTTGGATACTAGCCTGGGCAACATGGCAAGACTCTGTCTCCACAAAAAATAAAAACAAAAAAACCCAGGCATGATGGTGTGCACTTGTCATCCTAGCTACTCAGAAGGCTAAGGCAGGAGGATTACTCCAGCCCTGGAGGCTGAGGCTGCAGTGAACCAAGATTGCACCACCCCATTCCAGCATGGGTGACAAAGCAAGAACTTGGCTCTAAAAATAAATAAACAAAATAGGAAAAAAATAGAAAGAAAAAGAATTGGGCTGGTGTAAATGTAAAATGGTACAGCCACTGTGGAAAACAGTTTGGCAGTTGCTTGAAAAGTTAAACACAGAGTTACCTTATGACTCAGCAATTTCAAACCTAGGCAAAGACCCAAGAGAAATAAAAACATATGTTCACATAAAAACTCATACATGATTTCTCACAGCAGCATTATTCATAATAGCCAAAAAGTGGAAATATCCCAAATGTCCACCAATAGATGAACGAATAAACAAAATGTGGTGTTATCCATACAATGGGATATTATACAGCCATAAAAAGGAATGGAGAGCACTAACACATGCTGTAACATGAATGAATCTCACAAATATTATGCTAAATGAACAAAGGAAAAAAAAAAGTCACCTACTATATACTTTCATTTTAATAGGCAAATCTGTACAGACAGAAAGTAGAATAGTGGTTGCCAAGGGTTGGGGGAGGAGAGAATTTGGAGGTAAAGTTTCTTTTTTAGGGGGATGAAAATGTTAGATTAGCTTTGAGGTGATAGAATTAGTGATGACGGTTGTAAAGCATCGTGAATATACTAAAAACTACTGGGCTGGGTGCAGTGGCTCACACCTGTAATTCCAGCACTTTGGGAGGCCGAGGCGGGTGGATCAAGAGGTAAGGAGTTCAAGACCAGCCTGGCCAACATAGGGAAATCCTGTGTCTACTGAAAATACAAAAAATTGCCGGGTGTGGTGGCACGCACCTGTAGTCCCAGCTACTCAGGAGGCTGAGGCAGGAGAATCTCTTGAACCCAGGAGGTGGAGGTTGCAGTGAGCCGAGATGGCACCATTGCACTCCAGCCTGGGTGACAGAGCAAAACTCTGTCTCAAAAAACAAAAAACAAAAAACTAATGAATTATACACTTTAGAAAAATTTAAATGGTGAATTTTTAACTTAATAAAAAAGGTTTATAAAATGTAGGGGTGGGGATTTTCAGTCTTACCACATAGAAGCAACCACTGTTAACATTCTGGCATATTTCATTTCAGTCTTTTTCTCTGCACATTTAAGATCACAATATATTTAAAATTTCACTTTAAAATTACATCATAAACATTTCCCTGTTTTGTTAAAAACTTTATAAACAATCACTTTTGATAGATGCGTGATATATAACATGAATGTACTAAAAATTACTCAATGATTCTTCCACTTGAGCGTATGACTTCCAAATTTTCATTACCATAAACAATGCTGCAGTTGACAATCTTTGTGCATAATATCAGAACTCTACGACTTTCAGAATAGATTTTTAAAAATAAAATTACTCATCTGAATTATAAACCATTTTACAGTATTAAACAAATACAGTTTGTAAGACTGATTTCCAGAGCAGTTGTACCAATTTATACTCTTCTAGCAGTATATGAACATCCTGAAGACTCTCAGGCTTGATTTGCATTAAATGTTACATTTTATATTAACATCTTGGATAATTTGATGTGCAAAACTGTATTTTAAAGAGGAACTACTCAGTATCACTTTCAGTAAAAAGAGAAATGCAAAATTAAAGCAACAGTAAGATACCATCACCCACTCACCAGAATGGCTAAAATGGAAGACTAACAATACTAAGTGTTAACGAGGTAAGCAACATGATTTCACATGCTCATGGAAAATGTACAACGGGTAAATCACTTTGCAAAACTATTTTGCATTATCCACTAAAGTTAAACATATACATACTCTACAACCCACAAGTTCTACTCCAAGATACATCAGAAATGTTGGCACATGTGCACCAAAAGGTATGTTAATGGCAGTATTATTTATAATAGTCAGAAAATAGGAATATTAGTATCTCAAATGCCCATCAACAGTAGAATGAATCAACTGTAGTATACTCATACAATGGAACATTATACAACAATGGAAATGAACAAACTATAGCTACATGCAACAACATGGATGACTCTCACATTGCTGGGAAATAAGCCAGACAGAGAACACATATTGTATGATTCCATTTATATAAAGTTCAAAAACAGGGAACACACTAATCTATTTTGTTAAAAGTTAGGCTGATAGTTACCTTTGGGAAGGAAGAAAGAAAGAGAGACTGAAAGAGGATGTGTAAGAGATCTCAGGGGTGTTCATAATATTTTCTTTTTTGGCCTGGGGGGATGATATAATTCAGTTATGTTTATTTCTCATAATTTATTGAGCTATACAGTCCTGATCTGGGCACTTTTCTCTTTGTTATACTCAATAAAATTAAAATAAGTATTTTTGCTTCCATTTCATTTCTTAAATACATAAGGAAATGTTTAGTTTCTCTGATAATAAGCCATTTCTGTGTCCTTCTTTGTGAACCATTCAATGTGCCTTGTCCTGGTTTTTTTTTTTTTTTTTTTTTTTGGTGTCTTAAGTGTTTGCATGGGCTCTTTCTATGTTAAATGTATTTATCTATCGTCCTTTATCATGGAAAGCTTTTTCTGTATTTTTGGTTTTCAATTTTACTTACTTATGATTTGCGGGTTCAAAAGTTTTGCTTTGTTTTTTTGCTTTTGCTGTTTTAGAGATGGGTCTCACTCTGCCACCCAGGTTGGACTGCAGTGGGATAATCACGGCTCACTGCAGCCTGGATGTCCGGGGCTCGGGTGATCCTCCTACCTCACTACCTCAGTCTCCTGAGCAGTTGGGACTACCAGCACATGCCACCATGACAGGCTGATTTTTTGCATCTTTTCTGTAGAGAGGGTTTGGCATGCTGCATGGGTTGGTCTTGAACTCCTGGACTCAAGTGATCTGCCTGCCTTGGCCTCCCAAAGTGCTGGGAGTATAGGCATGAGCCACCATGCACAAAGTTTTTATTAGTCAAATTTTTCATTGTTTTACTCGGTGATAATGTCATGCACTGACAATATGCTCAGAAAACCCTTTTTCATCCAGAGATGAGAGAAATACTAACATTTTATTCTAGTTTGAAAATGATTTTAAAATGTTTTTAATAAAGTCATCTTAAAAATCAGCTTTTCAGGCCGGGCGTGGTGGCTCACACCTACAATCCCAGCACTTCAGGAGGCCGACACGGGAAATAACTTGAGGTCAGGAGGGGCTCGAACAACCGCCCTGGCTAAGCATGCGGGAGAAAACCGTCTCCATTAAATACACACAACAAAATTAGCGGGTGTGCTCGGCGGCACACCACTGGGTCCCTAAGCTACTTGGAGGGCTGCAGGCAGGATGCAACTGCCTCCAACCTGCGGAGGCAGAGCGCTGAGTAGCAGCAGAGGTCCATCAGCCACTCTAACACCAGCCCTGGGCGAACACCGGAGTGAATTCCATTTAAAAAAAAAAAAAAAAAAAAAAGCTTTCTGCTCTACTGAGTACAACATTCTTTTTTTTTGTTTTTTTTTTTTTCTGCAGATGAGTCCCTGGCTCTGTCTCCGCCCAGCTGGATTACACGTTGGCATGATCTCGGCCACTGCAACCTCTGCGGCTCCCAGTCTCAGGCGTTCTCTCAGCCTCCTGATCCTCCCAAGTAGCGCTGGACCATAGGGCACGCCGCCACCACGCCCGGCTCTAATTATTTGTACTTTTAGTTAGAGATGGGGTTCACCACATTGGCCAGGATGGTCTCAATCTCTTGACCTCATGATCCACCTGCCTTGGCCTCCCAAAGGTGTGAGGTATACAGGCATGAGCCACTGTGCCTGGCCAGAAAAAAAGCTATTTTAAAGTGTATTTCCTGCTGGGCACAGTGGCTCATGCCTGTAATCCCAGCACTTTGGGAAGGCAGATCATCTGAGGTTTAAGAGTTCCAACCCGCCTGGCCCTGTTGATGAAACCCCATCTCTACTAAAAATACAAAAATTAGCTGGGTGTAGGGGCGCACACCTGTAATTCCTCCAGCTACTCAGGAGGCCTGAGGTGAAGAGAATCTGCTTCCAGCTGGGGGGATGGAGGTTGCAGTGAGCTGAGATCACACCACTGCACTCCAGCCTGGGTGACAGAGCAAGACGCTGTCTCAAAAACGTAAAAAATAAAAATAAAAAATAAAGTACATTTCCTTAACAGTAATAACAGGTACACAGGAGGGGCTCAAGATACACTTGCTGACTGGCTTCTCTTCTTGCTCTCTTAAATTTCTACTATTTTAAGAACAGCTTGGCCGGGCGCGGTGGCTCAAGCCTGTAATCCCAGCACTTTGGGAGGCCGAGACGGGCGGATCACGAGGTCAGGAGATCGAGACCATCCTGGTAACACAGTGAAACGTCTCTACTAAAAAATACAAAAACTAGCCGGGCGAGGGGTGGGCTGTAGGTCCCAGACTACTCGGGAGGCTGCGGCAGGATAATGGCGTAAATCCGGGAGGGAGCTTGCAGTGAGCCGAATCTGGCCACTGCACTAGCCGTGGGTGCGCAGAGCGAGCCACCGCCTCAAAAAAAAAAAAAAACAAAAAAAAAAAAAAGGGACAGGTCTTGATGTTCAAATGAAGAGCATGAAAATTAAAAGTTCTGTTAACCACGAAAAGATCTAGAAAATAGGAAATGTGGGCCAGGTGCAGTGGCTCACGCCTGTAATCCCAGCACACTGGGAGGCTGAGGCAGGCAGATCACGATGGAGGGATTGAGACCAACCTGAACACATGGTGAAATACCATCTCTATTAAAAATACAAAATTAGCTGGGTGTGGGTGGCACACACCTGTAATCCCAGCATACTTGGGAGGGTGAGGCAGGAGAATCGCTTGAACCTGGGAGGCAGAGATTGCAGTGAGCTGAGATTCTGCCACTGCACTGCAGCCTGGGTGACAGAGTAAGACTCTGTCTCAAAAAAAAAAAAAAAGGAAACATCACATTTTGCTAAAAAGATAATGTCAGTTAAAAAATTAAGCTTATCACACCTGTAATCCCACCACTTTGGGAGGCTGAGGTGGGCAGATCACGAGGTCAGGAGATGAGACCATCCTAAACACTGTGAAACCCCGTTTCTACTAAAAAAACAAACAAAAAAAATTAGCCGGGCTTGGTAGCACACCCTGTAGTCCCAGCTACGTGGGAGGCTGAGGCAGAAGAATGGTGTGAATCCAGGAGGCGGAGCTTGCAGTGAGTGAGATCGCACCACTGCATTCCAGCCTGGGTGACAGAGTGAGACTCCTTTAAAAAAAAAAAACAAAAAAAAAAACCAGTTTAAAAGACTTGTGCTATTTTTGGGTGCTGCCAATATCTTTTATCATGAATGAATGGTGATGGTTACAGGTGTATATGTATTTCAAACTCCATTGAATTGTATACTTAAGAATTGTGTGTTTCACAGTATAAGGTTTTGGAAACTGGCAATTTAAAATAATCCAATTGCTTTTAGTTGAATTTTAATGCAAAATATAACATACTTATAATACTGCACGTCAAGATTCAGAATGAATACTTAGTATTTATTATATAGTCTTAGGGGTTCTGAATAACTTAAAATACTAGGAGAAGTAATAACCACTACCATTTATTGCATACTTATTCCATGCCAGCTCTGTCAAAGGAAGAGACAAATTCAAGCTTTGAATGCATGACTTACATTTCACACAAGCCAGTAATATGCCAATTCAAAGTAATCTCCAGTGTATATAGCAATAATTAGAGATTAGAAGGGTGGGTCTAAGGTGAAGGTAGCATAGCGCATATCACCAGGAAAAGGCATAACGTTTAAGAAAATAATTAAACAAAGAGCCAAATAAAAAGACTTTTTACTGAGCAACAGACTAGACAAGGGAACTGTGAGTTCAAGTATCCTACCAAATTTCATGCCCTTCTGCCACCTGCCAGAGGATACCTGTTCTTACTGCACTGCCTAATGCTGGTGTGACCACAGCTGTGAGACCTGCTTGACCCTTGCCCTACCTGGGAGCATCAGGGGAAATCCCTGACCAGAAGACCTTGTCAGAGGAAATCCAGTTTTAGCATTTTAGTAATTTAGTAAATTCAATTAAGTAAATTTAAAAAGCAGGTCAGAGGGCCTGTTCAGAATAGTATAAGGCCTCTGTGAGCTATAAAGAACCATATAAATGATAATCATTTTTAGAACAATTATTCAAAAATACAGTTCTTCAGTGTTGTGGTTCTGAAAAGACTGTTAAAGTGTGTCATATTTACACCATTGCCCATAGGCAACCTTTAGTTTACAGATAGGTGAGATGCGGAAAAGCTCTCCAAATATTTATCCTCTTCATTTCCTCTTAGAGAACTTTATACACACAAGTATTATAACATAAATTACAAAACACAATAAATGTAATGAATACTCATAAAACAACTACCAGACTCAAAAATGAAAACACAAGCCAAACCACAGATCTACCAGTGTTTTTGTAGGTATTTCTGATACAACCCTCCACCTTCCCAGTTGGCAGCTACTGGCCTACAGAAAGAAGTTTAAACCTGTCAGCATGAGACACCCACAGGGCTGGGAAAGCGCCTTTATCTTAATGGCTGCTGGAATACTGTGTTGAGAAAGAATGGAGGCCTCATGTGGGTCAACAGAACACTGCCCCAAGTGGAACAGAAATGGTGGCTCGTGTGCCCAACCCCAGACAACTCCTTCAACTTCGTCTTCTTTCCCAAAATCTACTCAGCTCCAGTCACCATGAAATGTTAAGTGTCCTGACGGTTCAGGCTTTCTGTATCCTTTTACGCCTGGAATGCATTCTCTTTCTTTCTCGAATGATTACACATCCTTTAAGTTGCAGGAAGCCTTCCTTGACCTCCTCAAGAAGAGACGCCTACACCTTTCTCTGCTATCTTCTAGCACCTGTATCATAAAAATTATCCAGCTTCAATTTCTTGTTTATTAATATATGCCTGTCTCTCCCACTACACTGGGAGCCTGCGCCTCTGGAAGGTAGGGATGACACTTAGCTTTATATTCCCAATGCAAGTAGCAGGTACTTAAATGCTTTTTGAAGGTATAGATAAAATATAATACCAAATAATTAGCAAGATGCTTTATTATGCTAATTCATTTCAAGTTTAATCTATAAAACTAATGCAAGTACAAAAGGAAAAAAGAAAATAAGATGAAGAGAAAAGGGGAGAAAGAGTATCAGGGAGAAAATGCTCAAGGAAGATTTTACAAACATATATAGCACAGTAATGTTTCATAGAACAAACAAAATTTATGTAAGGATTATTCGGTATTCTTAGGTTTGGTGTGAGTGTCCCTTTAGAACACAACAAAAATTACTTACTGGTTATAAAGTTCAGGATGCCTAACAAGGTTCTGAATGAATTCATTTAGTCCTGCTCTTCTTTGTTTAATAAAATCTGGAAGAGAAATATAAACTATTAGGATTATTTGTATCAGACTATGCAATTATCATCAACAGTTATATAATAGACAAGCACAAGATAGTAAATTTTGATTAAGAAGCTATTTTTAAATACATGCTACTTGTCACACAAAGAATACATACTTAGAAATTATATATTATATGAATCATTGTATTTATATAATATATAATTATATATTACATATTACATATATGTAATTATATACTAAAATTAAAACTAAGCGGACAATTTATCTCCAATAAGAAAGTTCTCAAAAACTGCCTATTATGGACTCTAAATAGACTAATTACAAAAATTGGAGAAGCACATAGATTTGTCCAACTCCTCATGTACTACCAGACAAGGAATAAAAACTAACACTATGACACTGATGACTGAAAATCACACAAATTAAAAAAAATAAAGATTTCTGGAAATCCTTTGCAACTGGGAAATAATGATTAATTGGTTAACTGAATATCACCAAAACTCTAGTTTAACTTCCACTGTGAAAAACAAACAAACAAAAAACTTAAAAAAATGCACAGGCATACTTTCCTAACAAGTAATTGTCCAGTATTTTCTTTTTTTAAATTTTTCTTTTTTGGTTGAGACAGGGTCTTGTTCTGTTGCCCAGGCTGAAGTGCAGTAGTGTGATCTAGGCTCACTGCAACCGCTGCATCCTGGGCTCAAGCAACCGTCCCGTCTCAGCCTGCTGAGTAGCTGGGACTATAAGCATACACCACCATGCCTGGCTAATTTTTGTATTTTTTGTGGAGACAGGGTCTCACTATGTTGCCCAGGCTGATCTTGAACTCCTGGGCTCAAGCAATCCACACTTTTTTGGAATTAGAAAACTTTATTCAAATATCTTTGCTCTCCCATGGTTCCCTAACTTGGACTTTTCCAAGACTTTAATTTTTACTTGAAAATGTGGAATAGTAACATATTTATAAACTCACGAAGGCGCTGTATAGGATTAAATGAGGATTACAGTCATATAAGTTTAGCTAGTAGGATGTCCTGGCAGATGTAAGAGCATTACTTATAGCTAATAATTAGTCTAGATCGTGTTAACTTTTGTTGGTTATTATTATTTAAGTGGTATGTGCGGTCTAAAAGCCATATATCCGTTAAACTCTTTTTTTTTTATTCAAGACACATCTTGCTCTGTCACCCAGGCTGGAGTCGCGGTGGCGTGATCTTGGCTCACTGCAACCTTCACCTCCTGAGTTCAAGCGATTCTCCTGCTCAGCCTCCAAAGTAGCTGGATTACAGGCCCGCACCACCACACTTGGCTAATTTTTGTATTTTTAGTAGAGACGCGGGTTTCACCATGTTGGCCAGGCTGGTCTCGAACTCCTGACCTCGTGATCCAGTGCCCGGCCTGCCCAAGAGTGCTTGGGATTATAGGC